AGTAAATATGGCTACTGAGTATGCGCTTGAAACTTTCACAGCACAGACGAATTTATCTCTGTACAGTATATAACCAAAAGTACAGTAGAAGATCAAGGCTTCTTCACTTTAAATTCAGTAATGTGATAAAAGAATGTCTAGCCATTGTAAGGCTTGGTCTGTTTCTGGTCCTTGTTCTAGCTTATAAATGAGCAGTAACAACTAGACAGCCTTTGTCCTAAGGTTTGACACTTTGAGAGCCTGCGAGCTTTGAAGCAAGGGCTTGATGGCTGCTCAGACTTACAGTCCTTGGGAAAAGATATGCAGATGAAAACATGCTGTTTCATCACAAATTGAATGAGTGCTGGCATCATTCAACCTGCCTTCTACTTCTAGGTTCCACTGAGAAACGTGAGTATCTCCAAGCAAGATTCCCACAGCTGGATGCTAATAGCTTTGCCAGCTCTCGGAATACTACCTTTGAGCAACATATACTGCGAGTTACCAATGGAAAAGGTAAGTTCAAGGAATACTTTTCCTTTCTGTTGTCAGCTATGCCATGATATGCAGTTGCACTTTCTAAAGACAAAATGAGTCACTAGAAAACAGGGTTAGGCTCTTAGCAGAGCTGAGTTTATTAAACAGTTGCTGTCCTTTTGTTGCAGGTGTCAACCTTGTGTTAAATTCCTTGGCAGAAGAGAAACTCCAAGCCAGTTTGCGTTGTCTTGCTCGACATGGGCGCTTTTTGGAAATAGGCAAATTTGATCTGTCTAACAACAGTCAGCTTGGTAAGATGGGGCGTTGGGAAATACATCTCATTAGGTTTAAGCAAGCACGACAACACAACCTATATACTATCTTAACACAGCCTGATCTTCAAATGTAGAAAAGCTTTTAGCTGGAATACTTGTTTCAGTTTTCTCACTAATAATTTGTGTGGTGTTTTCAACAAATACCTTCTTGGAAAAGTGTGACGCTCGGTATTTTTCTGGAAGCTTGCATAAAACGTGCAAAATAATTAACTTATCTTCCTCAAAGTCTTTCTTTAGAACCAGTATAGGATATGTTGCCCACAAAGTGTTTGGATAGGAAGGCGGTATGAAGCAGCATTCTTTTCGCTTAGCAATGTGTACCATTGTGTCTGTTAGCTTGTAGATTTCATAGATCTGTTGGACCTGACTTACAAAATTTTTAGGATGTAACATACCCATTTGTAATAGATGAGTGCACTGTTAAACCTAGCAAATTAAGTTTATAGCTATAGAAGCTGCAATTTTGCCCTCTGTTCTGGGTAAACTTGATCGTTTGTAGAGTGAAAGTAAGTAGAATTTTTCAGATACCTACAGAGAACCTGATCTTGAGAGAACTGTAACTTGTTGTTTGACCAAATATCTGTGCCATTCAGAATAGAATATGATAGTTCCAGTTGGAAGGGACCTGCAATGATCATCTAGTCCAACTGTCTGACTGCCTCAAGGCTGACTGAAAATTAAAGCGTATTATTTAAGGGTGTTTTCCAAATGCCTTTTAAATACTGACAGGCATGGTGCACCGACCACCTCTCTAGGAAGTCTGTACCAGTGTCTGACCACCCTTTTGGCAAAAAAACATTTCCTAATATCTAGACTGAATCTCCTCTGACACAGCTTTGAGCCATTTCTGCACATCCTCACTGGATCCCAGGCAGAAGAGATAAGCACCTCCCTTTCCACATCCCTTCAGGAAGCTGTAGAGAGCACTGAGGTCACCCCTCAGCCTCCTTTTCTCAGCTAGACAAACTCATAGTCCTTAGCTGCTCCTCATAGGACATGCCTTCCAGCTGCTTCAGCAGCTTTGTTGCCCTCCTGGAGGCATTTGAGTACCTTCACATCCTTTTTAAATTGAGGGGCCCAGAGCTGCACACAGTACTGGTGAGGGTGAGGCCACATCAATGTTAAATACAGTGGGATAGTCACCTCTTGATCAGCTGGTTGTGCTGTGTTTGATGCACCCCAGGATGTGCTTTGCCCTCTTGGCTGCTGGGGCATACTGCTGCCTCCCATTGAGCTGATGATGATCAGTACTCCCAGGTCCCCTTTCTGCAGGGCTGCTCCCCAGTCACTTCTCTCCCAGTTTGTACTTGTCTGGCATTACTTGGTCTCAGTTGCAGAATCTGGCGTTTGTTCTTGCTAATTTTCATGTCATTCATTATTGTCCAATGTTCCAGTCTCTCCAGACCCCTCTGCAAGGCCTCATGTCCCTCAAGAGTCGACAGCACCTCCCAGTTTTTGATGGCACAGGGACAAGATTAACCTGATTTCTCTTGGATGGGAAAACAAGTTTGAATGTTAGTGTGATGTGTTAGTGAAAAATGACAAGGATGTTCTCCTGTTGTAGAATGATTGCATATAGCAAGTGTTGACAGTCTCCTTTCTTGTTCTAATTAAGCTTCAAAAGATCCTAGCGTCATGGAAGACTTCCTATGAGCAAGAGTTTCCTGTGGAGATGGACAGGATGTACATGGGCTTCTAGATCTTCTGTAACTCACCTGTCACTAGACACAAAATGTCCTTTTTAATATCAGACTGACCATGTTGTAGCTTGTCCTCTTGACACGGCTTTTGTGAGTGGAGTTTCTGTTAAAATGGTCTGCTTGTAACAGAACAACCTAATTAACATAGCATTTAGAGAGTGTACACAAGAATGAGTTTGGAAAATGTAGAATTCTAGCAACTAACGACTGCTTTACTCCTCAGTCTTACACTAGACCTACACAGAAATGCTTCTGAAGCAGAAGACAGACTGTTTTGAAATATCAGCAGCATCAGGTCATAACCAAGTTGCCTTTTCTAGGAATGGCTCTCTTCCTCAAGAATGTGGCATTTCATGGGATCCTACTAGATGCAGTCTTTGAGGATGGAAACCAAGAGTGGGAAGTAGTGTCAGAGTTGTTGAAGAAAGGCATAAAAGATGGTGTAGTAAAGCCCCTGAGGAGTACAGTCTTCAACAAAGAAGAGGTAGAAGCTGCCTTCAGGTTCATGGCACAAGGGAAACATATTGGCAAAGTTATGATCAAGGTAATGAGATAATGACTTTGATTTTCTGATGCATCTGTCATCCTCAGTAGGTGACTATATTGGATATTTTGATCCAGTTCAAGCTGAAGTTGTAGAACTAGAACAGCACAGGATTATAGTTCTTAACTGCTGACACAGTTGTAACTGTCAAGTCTGTCATTCTAATTCTGCAAGGTTTATACCCATTGACTGGAGGAGCATAGTATGGAAATATAAGAAATGCATTTCTTATATCTGATATTAACTACTTTTTTCTTTTTTTCTTTTTTTTTTGGGGGGGGTGGGAAGGTCCAAGAAGAGGAAAAGGAATATCCTTTAAGAAGGTCTGAACCAGTTAAAATCTCTGCAATCTCCCGAACCTCCTGTCCACCTACCAAGTCTTACATCATTACAGGGGGCCTAGGAGGATTTGGGCTTGAGTTGGCACAGTGGCTAGTTGAGAGAGGAGCCCAGAAGCTTATACTGACATCCCGTTCTGGCATACGAACTGGTAAGCAAAAATCGTTAAGGAACAGGGAACATGACTCCCTTTCAACAGATCGCAATCTGTAGTTTCTCTCAATTTTTAAGTGTCCTATCTTTAAACAATAATGTATTGATCTCTTTTCTTTCCTCTCATGTATCTTTCACTTCAAACTGTTGTCCCCTTTATTCTGAATGACAAAGTATCTTTTAATGTGATGTCTCTTCCAACTACTTTTTTCCTTTTTTTATGCTTCCTAATTCTGTCAACCCATTTTCTCCCTTGCCCAGGATTTTTTCTGCAGCCTTACTTTTACCTTTATCCCCTCTAAAGTCTGTGTTGGGCTACCTCACTGACTTGTCTAGTGGCTGTGGCATGCTGGATCACATGCCACAAGGAAAGGCCTATAAACTCCTTACTGAAGATACTCTGTCCCTCAGGTTATATGTGTGGATGCTTGCTCTTGCTCCTTCAGATAGCTCATATGTAAAGGTGTGCCGTACTATCTGATAACGTCAGTAAGCAGTTTTACTCAGTTTTTAAGCCATTGGTTTGATTGTGGCATCGAGGTTTCTTATCAGTGGTAGTCTTCAGTGTTTCCTCGTACAAATTCAGTCATAACAAAACTTCTCTCTGCCTCTACAGATTTCTTCTTCCTATTGTCAAATTCACAATTGCACCACTTGTGCAAACACACATAGACCAAATACTTACACTTCTCAAGTTCTGATTGTGCTACTGTAATCTGTTGCCTTGCCCTAATCTAGCCATTCTTCCTGTTTTAGTACACAAATTCTTGTTAACTTCCCTTCACTGATGTACTTTTTTCTTCCTTTTTTCCCCCCATCTCTCGCAACTCTGTTCTCCGCTTAGATCTATGTAGAGTATTTCTGAAACTCAAGAGATTTCTATCTGCTATTGAAGTTTTGTCTAACTTTCCTCTTGTAGCTCAACTGGGAGTTATTTAGCTATTCAGTTCCCTGTCTAGTCAGAAAAGCATAAGGAGTGTTAACCAAAGCCTTATGGTTTGAATGCTTCATCCCAGGCACTGTTCGCCTTTATTTTTTTGTAGGCTACCAGGCTAAACGTGTTAGAGAGTGGAAGGCACTGGGAATCAAAGTGTTGGTATCTACCAATGATATTGGAACACTAGAAGGAGCACAGCTATTGATAGAAGAAGCTTTGCAGCTTGGCCCAGTTGGAGGCATCTTTAATTTGGCTGTGGTAAGTGACAAAAATACTTAGGACTTGTAAGAGACTGCAGCCATTCAAGTTGCTTTTCTACTGAGGGTAGTCAGGCTTCATATAGTTTTAGACTGCCTCTTTCTGGTCCAAAGGACACTTTGCTTTGGCCTTACCTGCTGACTAAAGGCTTATGGGTCTGGCCCCTTGACCTGGGAAGCAACCGTATTTGCCCAGTAAGCTCAGTTCTAGGATAAGATCTCTGTGAAAAAGAAAAATCCCATACAGAACTTGACAGTTGAAGGCTGCAGTGGCAGTACTGAAAAAAGCAGACTTACCAAAAGCCACATTGTCCTTGTTGGACTTCAGGACATTGAGGATATGTTTGTATATTGTAAAGTTACAAAAATGCATTGTGTAATAATAGCTTGTCATATCTCAAACCACATGGCAAATTTTAATGGAGAAACTGGAGATCCTGAAACTGCGCTCTTTTTCCCCCCACCCACCCACCCCCATAGGTTCTTAGAGATGGCATGATTGAAAATCAGACCCCGGAATTCTTCTGGGAGGTCAACAAGCCCAAGTATTCAGGCACCCTTCATTTGGATTGGTGAGTGTCTGTAGAAGGGACAAATACAAACTGCTTTTATGGTCACAGAGCTGATAAAATGTAGACATTTGAGTCTTGCGTTAGCTTTTTGTGGTAGCACGTAGTTGGCAGGTTTTTCTGATGGGGTTTCTCTCTTCTGCTCTACTCCAAGGGTGACTCGTAAGAAGTGTCCAGATCTGGACTATTTTGTTGTGTTCTCCTCTGTAAGCTGTGGGAGAGGAAATGCTGGGCAAAGTAATTACGGCTTTGCCAATTCTACCATGGAACGTATCTGTGAGCAGCGACATCATGATAGACTCCCAGGTAAGATGACTTTACTCATTGTGCAGAACAATCTATCTTGCCAAACATCTGAGAACCAACTCCCAGAAACTTGTGCACCTGTCTGGAACAATAATGAACGTTGAAGACTGTTTCCTCTCCTAGCTGTTATGCCGAGTCATTCATGTGTGAATTAACACTGACCATTTAACAGTACAAAGGAAATGCAGGCTTTTGCTTAGCTGTTCAACTCCCTTTTGTTGCTGCTCTGTGTTTTAGTTGCCTAGTGTGTTCTTTTTTCTGATCTCTCTTCCAGGCCTGGCAATCCAATGGGGAGCCATTGGTGATGTGGGTATCCTTCTGAAGACAATGGGAAACAGAGAGGTTGTCGTTGGGGGAACCATTCCCCAGCAAATCAGCTCATGCCTGGAGGTGCTCGATATCTTCCTGAATCAACCTCATCCTGTCATGTCCAGTTTTGTGCTAGCAGAAAAGGTCTCTGTAAAAACTGAAGGAGGCAGTCAACGGGATCTTGTGGAAGCTGTTGCTCACATCCTGGGTAAGTGCTCTCAGACAAGCACTGCTGGGCACTATCTACCATCTCAATGCTTTTGGAAAGCAGTGGTGCTGCCATAGGAGCTCTGTTCAGCATCTCCTCTTGATTTCCTCTGGTGGTGGTGTGGGACTGTTTGGGGTTTTTTTTCTTTACACTGCTCCTTCTCTCAAATAATCAATTTGTTTCTTTGGTGGGGGCATTTCTTCCTTGTTGTGTTTACATATATGCTCACACATACTTGAGTGTCTTGGATTTTGTTTAGAATGGACCAGTGCCTTTCTCCAAATGAAGAATCAACAGGAAGAGCCTCCAAGAGCAAAATTCTGGGACAGCACATAATAGGGCAAATATATGACTAATGTTCTGAGTGCTATTCCAGCTTTCAAATGCTCACCTTGGGATATCTCCACGCTGCAAAAAGTAGCTTTAATGTACTTAGTGACTAACTGGTAGTGTATTTTATCAACTCTGTCTGTCATCCCACGTGAACATCTAGTAACCATAGCTTAACTTCATGTTACAAGTGCCATGTCCTCCTGTCTGTTCTGAACCTGCATCCTTTTACCACTGTGTCCCCTGTTATTGTGTTGAAAGTGAATAATCTGTCAACTCTACTATGTCCTACTTCAGTTGTCTCTTTTGCAGACGGAAGTGTGTACTGATCCTTTGTTTTCTACCAAAAGAGGCTCTGATAAATTGAAGACAGTCTCCTGAGTATTACTTAAGGAATTGCGTGCAGTAACTCACAGCAAATCTGATTGCAGAGAACAAATACAGCTTTTAGAAGTCACAGGAAAGTGTCTAGGAGATTGTACCAGCTGTAGGGTTAGTTTGGAAGGAGAGAGTGTGTAAAGACAAAGGCAGAAGCTAGTAAGAAGCCTGATGGTGGGAAGGTTGGCAACATTGGGGCAACACAAGGGAGATGAGAAGAGCTGTAGATACAAGTGTTATTGTGAGAAGCCTTTTACAGGTAAGGAAAGGCTGAGAGACTTGAACAGTGTGAAAATTGAAGGGGAAGAGATGAAGACTAGAGGAATAGTCTCCTCTTCCAGTGTGACAGACATAGTGTTGCAATCAACCATCATTGACACTGATAACTTTCATCTCATGTTGTATCTGAGGATTAGTTTTGTGTTAGGCCTAGGACTGCAGTTTCAGTTAGAGCATTCAGTATGTAAAATCCTCTATCTGACTGTTCTGAACTTGGTCTAGAGCTGAAGTGACAATGTTCACAGCTATTTAGCTGGGACTGATGTATCCCCTGTTATAAAGCAGTGCATGTTTAATGTGTACTCTAAAGACTAGATCCCATAGGACCAGATGTGGGTTGTAGAAGAGGTGACTTGTGAAAGCATGAAAGCATTCATGATCCTGAAAGGTAATTCTCTGTAGCTGCAGTTTATTCAGGTATTGGGAAAAAGAAGGAAGCTGAGAATACTGCTAGAGAGGCCTAGAGCTGAAAAGAAATTGGCCTGTTGTTAGCATGCTGTTTTTTCTCAGGTGTCCGTGATGTGAATAGTCTGAATGCTGAGAGTTCCTTGGCAGACTTGGGCTTGGATTCCTTGATGGGTGTGGAGGTGCGCCAGACCCTGGAGAGAGACTATGACATCATTATGACCATGAGAGAAATTCGACTCCTTACAATCAACAAACTGCGTGAACTTTCTTCCAAGTCCGGGACAGCAGAGGGTACAGCATCTGGATTAGGGTTGCTACCAGTCACCTGAGTCCAAACAATTAAGCTTTCAGTCCATTGCTTTCATCTCTAGTGACATAAGCCTCTATCAAATAATGAAATAAGATCATGAAATAAATAATCATGAAACAAATAATAGCTGAAAGGCTTTTAAGTGACAGACATGTCGCTGAAGTGCATTGACAATTGGGTCAGGCCCATCAGTTCTGGGGGCAGGGTGTAAGAAAGTGTGAAAGCTGCTTTCTTGCCTGGTTAGTATCTGCTGGCACGAGTACTCCTATGTAGCTGTGTGAAGGATGTGATTTGAGACCTTTTTAATATCTGAGGAATAAACAATGTAATGTCTTGTTTACTGTAAGCTAAAAGCATATGCAGTTGCTGCAGAGCAAGTGACAATGTTCATAGCTATTTATCTGGGACTGATGTATCCCCTGTCATAAAGCTGTGCACGCTTAACGTGTACTCTAAAGACTAGATCCCATAGAACCAGATGTGAGATGTAGAAGAGGTGACTTGTGAAAGCATTAGATGATCCTGAAAAGTAATTCTCTTGTAGCTGCAGTATATTCGGGTATTAGGAGAAAGAAGGAAGCTGAGAAGACTGCTAGAGAGGCCTAGAGCTGAAAAGAAATTGGCCTGTTGTTAGCGTGCTGGTTTTTTTCCTCACTTGGGTATCTATGACACAGAGATCCCTGTGTCTGTGCCCTGCTGATTTAGTGAGCCAATGGGCTAATCTAAAGCAGCCCTGAGATTCTCCTTTAGGATTAGCTACGTGACCAAGACTGATCCTGAATCTAATTATGTTTGTTTGGTGTGCTTCCCTTCAAAGAGCTGAAGCCATCCCAGCTGATGAAGACGGGCGTGGGTGAACCTCCAAAGCTTGATTTGAACAACTTGTTGGTGAACCCGGAAGGGCCAACAATCACCCCTCTCAATGATGTTCAGAGCACAGAGCGCCCTCTTTTCCTTGTTCACCCCATTGAAGGATCCGTTGCAGTTTTCTACACTCTCGCCTCCAGACTTCATATGCCCTGCTATGGGCTCCAGTGCACAAAAGGTATCTTAGTTCTTCAGCATCTTGAAATTGTAAATATAACATCCTGAATTCTAGCTCTCTTATAGAGAGAGCTTTGTAGACTCTTAAACTCAGTACCTATAGTCAGCGCCTATTGTCTGCGTAGCGCCTATTGTCATGCGAACATCCCCAGGTAATAAGAGAAGTACTAGGTTAGGTTGAAGAGCTTATGTATGGCGAAATGGAACAATTGGATGTTACATTAAGTCCCTGCCAGCAGATAAGCATGCAGGAGAAAAACAAGGCCGCGTTAAGAGTAAGGATGTGACGTTTGCCTGTCAGAGTCCTCTCACTGGTCTTTCACTGAAGCAGTTTCGCAAAGTTGCAAATACAGGTCATTTATTAAGGTGACAGTTACAACAGGTGCAGAATTGCCATTGCTAAATTTACGTATTGCAATAGTGCTAATATACTATAATAATGCTAGCCAAGTTTTTCCTGGGTATTCTTCGCCAGGGGCGAAGGTGCAGTGCTTGCCAAGAAGGCGTCCCTGTCTTGGGTGGAAGAGGAGGAGCCCAGCCCATCAACCATCTCTTCTGTATCTTCAGTCCCTCTCTAATTTTTACCCCTTACTCTCCTCTTTTTATTCTGTTTCCCCTCCCACGAGTTATGTATAGCATGGTTTAGGCGGAGAGTTGAGTGACATGGTCATATATGTATAGAATTAAGCAGAGGTGTTAACTGTAATATTAATTTTCTAGATAATTAAGCAAAAGTTTGACTCCAGGGCATCATAGCCTTCAGAGTTTTGTGCTGAAACAGTTTTTCTGCACTCTCTAGCCCAAACAGAGCTGTCTTGCTGCTGCAAGGCTCCCTCTTTCAGCTGTTATCTCCCCTCACAAGGTTTGTAGAAAGGAGAAGCAGATACCAGCAATCTTATCCTTTTGCTGGTTTTTGCCAGATGAACAAGTTGCTCAGCTCTTGTCCTTGCTCTGTCCAGGGCATAATGACCTTCCAAGCCTAGCATTTCTCCACATCAACCTGTCTTTGGAAAGCAGAAACACTACTATTCCCTGTCCAAAATGTAAGCTGCTAACCATAACTTAGAAACTTACCTTCACAATAAGCTGGATGTTTCCAACAGGGTTGTTTCTGAGCTCATGGAAATATGAATTGTCTCTGCCAGTGTTTTTTCAACAGTGTTTCTAACTCACTTCCATGTTCTAGCTGCTCCCTTGGACAGCATACAGAGCCTGGCAGCCTATTATATTGACTGTGTGAAGCAGATACAGCCTGAAGGACCTTACCGCATTGCTGGATATTCTTTCGGTGCCTGTGTAGCCTTTGAAATGTGCTCCCAACTGCAAGCACAACAGAATGCTCCCCATGTGCTCAACAGTCTATTCCTCTTTGATGGGTCTCATTCCTTTGTGGCAGCATACACTCAGGTAAGAGATACAAAGATGATCTTCTGTCAGGGGACCAGCCTGTGTCATCAGGGCTCATGTTCTGGCAGCTTACTATTCTAGATAATGAGCCATCTGAAAAGCTGACAGACTTTTCTCAACAGGGGAGTTGGGAGACAGCTGTAGACATGGATGCTTAGAGATGGCTGAAGGGTGGAAGCTTATGGGGGCGTGGTCCTCATTAATTTGTGAGGGCTAGGACACAAATGTTGCTCTTGCTATGACAAATCATAATATTAGTATTTCTGCTGGAAGATCCTGGAGCCTGCAAGACAAAATCCTTATGCAGGGGTGCTAGGAAACCTTGCTTAAGCCTTCCTTTCCATTTTACTGTACTTTCTAGAGGATACTAGGCTCTTGGCAAATCCACAGGCAGCAATTGCCTTCTAATCTGTCCTCAAGGAATCTTCCTCCTCCACCCCACCCAAAGCTTCAGTCTATCTTTTCTTTCTTTTTCTCTTCCAATTCGAAGCCCTTTTGTCTTGGTTTGAAAAGACAGGTGT